TCTATAACAGCACCCACCACACAGGCACAGGTGCTAGACTCTATAACAGCACCCACCACACAGGCACAGGTGCTAGACTCTACATCACAGAATGGGCTCTAGCAAGCGAGAAGCTGGTCGGTGAGGCGATCAACTACGGCTTGGGTGAAAAGGGAAACAAGCAACATTTCTGGAAACTAGGACAGGCCACCATCGATAGTTCCTCAAAATGTTTGACATATTTTCATACAGTATGTGTAAACCCAGTGTCCAAATAGCTTTAGTGGTTGGTGAAAAACTTGGACTAATACTTGTCCTGACTGGGTTTCCTTGAAGGCAGACAGATGTAACCCTCTCGCAGAAAGCACTGTACTTTGGCTCTTGAAGTACACTTTGTTGACAATGCATGCAATGCCATTCCTCTTGATTGGCACAGTAAACCATGTTTTTCTGATTCAAATGGCCAACAGCAGCTTTATGTCAGCTCACTAACACCTAGGATATCTATCTTTACGTATTCCATTTCATTTTGACGACTTCCAACTGTCCCAGGCTACTCCATTCACCTCACCATGGCTGATCCTACTTTGGGGAAGCCGCTCCTCCTCAGCGACATTTCCAGCGCCTGCCAACCTGCAGAGCGCCCCCCCACGCGCTGAGCGCGCCTGCTCCAGTCACCAGGCCTCAGTGTCTGGCTGTGCTCCCCGTGCACAGACGGTTTCTGGCAGCTGCTTCTTCCAAAGTGGGCAGCCAAGTCCTTCTCCATAGTCTGTTCTTCATCTGGAAGCTCCGCTGAAACCTGTCCACGTTGGGTGACCCTGCAGGTAGTTGAAATACCGTGACAAAGCTTCCAGAATCACAGCAACACGTCAGAAGCCCCCCAGGATGAGACACTGCAGAGACCGGGGTGAGTGCCTGGGATGATGCCTCACTCCCCTTTGCGGAGTTCTCTGTTACAGGACTGTCACTCTAGATGGTACTTTACTAGATATAGAGGATGACTTAAAATCACCGTTGTTTTATTTGCCCTCGGGGTAGGGTCAGCTGAAAGAAAACAATGGGGCACTAATAATAATGAAGACAAGAATGAAGAAAATGTTCTAAGATGGATTTTGGTGATGATCACACAACCTTTTAGAATAGTCTAACCACTGAACTGTATGGTCTATGAACATACACAAATAAAATGGTAAAATTAAAAACAAAAGACTCCACACTTGTATCAAAGCTTCACATTTTTGTGACCTCCATTTCCTGGCTGAGCGTTGGCAAGCGAGGACTGCTTTGAATGGCAGACAGATCGAGCTTCTGACTTTGGACCCTGCATTTGGTTTGTCTCTGCCGACCTTCAGATTGGGGTTTAACCGGGCCACAACCATGTGAGACATCTCTTCAAAGTTTCATGGGTGTCTGTGAGACGCGGCAGAGGAGGACTGAGCCTCGGGACATGAGGGGATGTACTCAAGGGAGGAGTGGACGGGGAGAGGGGATGTACTCAGGGAGGAGTGGACGGGGAGAGGGGATGTA